GGACGAAAGTCGGCTTGCGAACCCATCGGCATTTCGAGATGTCCCAGTAGTTGTCGAAGAAAACTTTGCAGTAGAAACCGTGTGTCCGCTCGATGGCGATGTGCCAACCCGGTGGCTTTGTCTCGTGGTCATCATCGCGGTCATAAAGCCTTCGGCGGTCCATCTGGTTGTAGGGAGTGTCTCGAAGATTTCCGCGTAACCCGACTTTGGCTGGCGAGAGATCGGAGTGCTCCGCGTACCACACAAAGTCCTCGTTGGCCCCTGTCGCGCACTGGTAGCAACATCTGTAGTGTATGTTGCGCCAATCGTCTTCGCCATCGGGGTTGACTGAGAGCAAGTAGTAAGGCGGGAAGAGGCGACCACAGAAAGTGCAATCGAGGGAGCCGTCGTGGAGTTTGTCGGTGTTCGGGGTGCTGAAGTATTTGAGGTACATCTCCACACGATCGACGTCCCTTTTGTGCTGGTCTTCGATCGAAGTCCCATCGCGACTGATGAGCTCGATGGGCATCCCGTTGTCGTCGACTTCCTCGCCGGTCAATTGTCGTCGCCAGATGGTGGCAAGCTCGGCGTCTGAGGAGTTAGGGAACTGTCGACGTAGGGATGCCATCGCGGTCTTCTCGGAAGCTCGCTTAAAAGCGATTATCTCGAGGGCTCCTTGGGTGTTCTGGTCGTCGTAGAGTCTCCGTTGTATCTTGAGAGCACGGCCCGCATCGGTGTCGGGGTCAACACCCTCTAAGTATCGCGCGGCCGGCAAAACAGCCCCGGAGCTACTCCCGGGTGTTTGGGAGAACTGCTCGATGGGATCGGGTACAGTCGTGGGAACCTCGGGAAACTGTTCAATCGGGTCAGTGTCCATCGGGGTCTGACGGTGGCTGGCCATCGCGTCGAGTAGGTCGGGAGGTTCGGGGGTACACAGCAGGACTTGAGAGGTCGAGGTCTACGGAAGCCAAGCAATCTCCAAGGAGAGAGCAGGCCCCACTACAACTAGCAGAGCCTGTTGCAACCGCAAAAGTGATTGTACTGAGCAATTGAGCTTTGCACTTCTTATTATCGTGTGGGCGAGGCAATATCCGAGGTAGATCATGGGGTAGAGTAGGACACGTCGCCGAGGCGGAAGTCCCCCCTTACACCCGAAGTTACTGTGACACCAGAAACTCCCGTGCGTCGCCGAGGCGGAAACGGGGTAACGATGTGAGACCGATGGGCTTCGGGAATGCCTAGTTGAAGGATCGAGAGTCTTCTCGAAATCGCAGAATGAAGGCCGGCGGCTCAGCGGCGATGATGGGTCGCATTCTCTCGTGTTGAGCGAAAGCACTCCGCATCGCCGGAGAGAGCATGTTCGAAGCGCAAGAGATGATCGCAGATGCTTGCTCCCGGAAGAAAGTCGTCATCGGCTCGAAGTATGGCATCTGTGTCGCGAAAAGGTTGAGGTTGTGGGCCGTATGGCACCACATTCGGAGTCTGTTCATGCGGTCCTCCACCGATGTATGACAAACTGGGTCAGATAGCTCCCGAAGGTAGGGCATCGAAGAACCTGTTCGAGGTAAATGACGCCGTCATATGTGATTTCCCATGGGGAATCGAAGGAAAAGGAAGAGTATGGGTGGTTGCCCGGGGGGAGCATCGCGACATTGTCACCGCCCACCGGTGTCATCGCCTGCAAGTTCGGGGACATCATCGGAAAGTTGTCGAAGTGTCTCAAAGTCTGGAAGCCGAAAACGGGCTCGTGTGAAACCGGTGGATTGGAGCGAACATCGTCGATCGATGTCCTGCCCTTGTCCACAACCTGTGTGTCGAGCCACTGTACTCGGAATCTCTCGAGGCAAGACTGTCGTGGTGGCTGAGGCTGCACCGCAACTGGCACACTCGTGTATGGGCTCCGCAGTGATGTTGCGACCGTCGAGGAGGAGGCCGCTCCAGACTGGGTCGTGTTTGGTGTAAAGACTTGTCTCGGGTCTGCTCGAGACAGGTCCACCGCCGGGTGAACCGAGAACCTCGGCGGGACCACTTTGGGCATGGCCTTCGTCTTTGCCCCCACAATGGTCGTGGTAGTCGATGTACCGAAGGCCGGGTTGATCCACTCGGAGTCGCTCGGGGGGTTCACCGCCGGAGCTGTGGCCTGGTCGGTCGGCTGTGTCACCGGAGTACTCGTAGTCGCCGTAATCGGAGGTGTGGACGGAGCTGCAGTCGGGGGTGTTGGCGGCTCCGTAGCGTCGTCATCCTCGTGCCAAGGATCCGGGGACAGCGGTCGAGTCTGTCGTGAGGTAGTAGTGGGTGTCGGAGTCGGGGCTGGAGTCGAGGTGACAATCTCATCCGCGACTTCGACGATTACCGGTGTGGTGTCGAGCCATCGCTTGGCCGGTGATTGTGATCGTCGAGGGAATCTCGCCGGTGACAATGGTCGTTGTGAACCTCGAGCTGCTCCATCGCCGGGGCGGAAGGCAGCTCGGGTGGAGCGACCGAAGCTGGGGGCGTCGGAGTCGGTGTCCGTGCCCAACTGGAAGAATGGTCGACGTGGTGTTGAGCTCGTCGGTGCTGTCGAAGGTGCAACCGAGGGAGTCGCAGTCGAAGGAGCCGCCGACGGTGTAGCTGCCGGAGGGAATCGAGGTCCCGAGGTAGGGAAAATATTCCCTCGTGGTGGAGTCGATGGCTGCCCCCATGTTGCTGGGGGTCGAGAGTCGTCACGGGTTCGCCGGGGAGAGCGTCCACGATGAGTGCCCTCCGCCATTTCTTGTCGAAGTCTGGCTGCGGCGTCCGACCTGTCCCATGCTTCGAAATCGTAGTACTTGGAGAAGTTGGTACCGAAGTTGAATTTGCGCATCTCGGTGTGACGGAACGTGGCCATCGTGTCCATGATCCAATCGTTCGCCTGTCCTCGGGTCACCTGCTCAAGGAAAGCACCTCGAGATTAGTAGTGGAAAGGAGGCTCGCCTTGTCGTAGTTGTCGTTGCAGTACAACAGCTCGACGCATGGCATCGTCGAAGGTGTGCCCGCGTTGATTCCAACATCTACTGTGGTACTCGCAGCATCCCTGGAACCATTTGTGGCAGATTAGATTGGGTACCACCCATTTTTTGTTAAGGAAATCGGGGTGTAGGTGCGCACAGTTTTGCATATTGCAGTTCTTAGTCTCGAGGATTCGAGGGCAGATTTGTCGTCGAATCGAGGACACAGGTACTCGGGCTTCATCGCGGACTCTTTCGGGGAACTCGTCGAGGATGGAACTCGGCACAGGTGCAGTGATATTCTGCGTCGAACCCTCGCAGAGAAACTCGAACCAAGAGTCGGATCGAGGAATTGCCATGGCTACGAAGTAGCTAATCCAAATCGATAGAGGTCGTGTTAGAGGGCTTGAGGCGCCCTTCGAAGTTTCTCTTTCGAGCTGTAGATGCAGCGGGTTCGGGATTATGAAGTTCCATGCCGAAATCATCACGAAAAATGTCTGCCAAATGCTGATTATGCAGATCGGTCTCATGTACCAGAAGAGCAGCATCGGTGTCCACTGGAAGGGGTACATGATCGGATTCGGGGTATAGGGAAGCCTCGACGATCTCCAACGGGACCGTGAGCGGCTCCGCGGAGTCGTCGCGGTTAGTAATGTGCAGGTACAAAAAGGCCTCGAGATTGGGCGGCTTCAGCAATGTCGCCGCCAGATTGACAATGTCGTTGGCCGTCCGACACTGGGAGATCTGGTCAATGGCCTTTCGAATTTGTCGAGACTGTCGCTTGTTCCAGGCAGCCCACGTCACATCCTCGGGTTTCTCGATCTGGAAGTCTTCGAGAACTTGCTCGCGGCTGAATTCCTCGAGCGATTCCTTCAAGCTGTCAACGACTGACAGAGAAGCCGTAGTGCTCGAAGTACTGGCCGCCAGCAGCGGTCGTAATAGAACTCGAAGTACTGGCCGCCCAGAGCGGCTATGACCGAGGAGTGATCCGAGGGGACTGAAACAAAATTTCTCAAGCTGTAACAGCTTTTCGCCAAAATGGCCACGGAGTATGCAATCCTTCGAATTGAATCGGTGAGTCTATCCCCTGACCGATTCGGTGATCAAGTGAGATGATGAGTTGTCACTTCGCACAAACAAGTGTGTGCTACACAACACATGCATACATGCATGTATTGAGTATCATAGGTGACCTACATACATACATACATACTTACTTACTTACGTAGATACATACCTATGTGCATACATGCATGCATACATACCTCTCTATCCACCTACCGACGCATTCGTACGTGCATACCCACATGTGCAAATACTTACGTACATTTACATACATACAAACATACTCAGACATGTATGGATGTAGATGTCTCCGTGTATGTGCAGGTGTGCAGATACATTAATATTTTTGTATATCTGTGAGTGCATGCGGGTGCGGCATCTATGGTAAGAATGTCTGCATGCATGTCTGTATGTACGCATGTCTGCAAGATTATGTGAGACCTCTGCGTTTGGGGCACGATTGAGGTTCCAGCTGGGCGTTGTTGAAGAAGGCTAGGCGCCGCTCGAGCTGGTAAAAGCCTTGGCAATTTCAATATTGAACGCCACTCCAGCTGCCGACTCTGCCGACTGCCGAGATCCGAGCGCTTTTGCAGCCCGTTGGGCAATGCACTCTCCATGGCCACCTTCGGCGAGAAGAAAATGTCATCTCGCGACTTGCTTAACCGGTCCATGCTCTGCACAGCACGAGCTCGGCCAAGGTCTTTCTTTGGAGTCGCCGCACAAGGACAGGCACCCGCTTGTAACACGCAAGTTGCGAAAACAGAACCCGATAGAGTCTCCACGAACGCACTCCAGGCAGCAGGGACTCGGCGGAAAGTATTGAAGACGGTCTCTCTTCGGGTTGGCTCAAAGCCAGCTCACTCGCACTACGGACAATCAGCCAAACCACCGTCGACTCATCGAGCAATGCCCCCAAATCGGCCGAAGATCTGAACAGCAGAAAGAGGTGGCCAAGCCCACAAACTGGGAAGGTCGGACGGAACGAACTTTTCACCAAAACCTCGCCAGTGTGAATCGACAGAAGCATCCCACGAAAGAGAAGCCGCGAAGCCGTAAGCGAAAGCTTAGAGGCTGCACCCTCAAGGCCTGCCCGTCCTGCACGGCGGACTCCTGCACAGCAAGCGTTGCACAGCCGGCTTGTTCGATACACATGGCAGTAATATGCATTAATTGCAACGCCAGCAAAGATATGCTAACACACACCATGCAACCTCACGAAGCTTGTATGCCACACCCAGTGCCTTCAAGGCCGTCCATGTTTCGTCCGTTCCAAAGCAGAAGCCCTGCCGACCGTCGATATCCAGGCCTGTGAACTGGCATTGCACGACTCGCTGTCATGCTTTACCCTACCTGATACACCTCATGCTTGACAATTCCACAGACAGTGCAGCGTACAACTGTCGACCCTCAAACTGTCTGCAGCAATGCACTATATTTCTCTGTGCAGCGGTCTTGGCATATTCCTGATCCTGCACTTAAGTGCCCCATTAAACAAAGCGACTGACACAGCACAGGCCAAGCCCCCCACGCATCAGCCAGTAGATGGCGAAAAAGGCACATATCGTGCGCTGGTACCTGCCGGCTGCTCAGCTAGCCCGGGACGGGAGCAGAATGGAGGATTTCCAGCTCTAGGTTGACCATGTTGAACTCACTTCTTCGGCCCAACGGTCAACACGACAACAGAGGTTTGCCAGAAGCATTCCAGAAAAAGGACACCGTTGAATTGGACCATCCGGCAATCAGGGCACTCATCATCGGCCGTTCGCCCTGATCCCGTTTCCACAACCTTGGTGCAAACGCTGCAAAACCTTGTTGCTCCGTTGGCCTCGTCCTTTTACTCTTTTACCTCGGCCTGAGGCTTCTGCTCCATCCCGCAAGTAAAGTGAAAGCTCAGGAAACGCAGCTAGGTCCTCGAAGCTCTGGCAAAGTGACTCACAACCCTCCTTCTTGCGCCCGCTAAAAAGCACTGACAGTCGCGTCCCGGACTTCCACAAACAAGGCCCCCTTTCTTCCCTCACAGATACGGAGCTTCTCTGAAGGCCCGAAACTCGACTTGGAACTCCCCTTGTATGCCAACTTCGGCAATCTCTCAAAAACCGATGCCCAAAATGCCAACGCGCAAACGTCCCCCCGGCCCGGGTTTCCCAGACCACAGGCACGGCACCGTGACTGGAGGTTGCATAAGCCTGGGACCTGTCGTGCCTCGAAGAATGGGCCCGGATCGAGGAGAACATCACTATTCATTTACTCCCACCAACTTCTCAAGCCCGGGCATGAGAAACCTGTACAGCAACATTGGAGTCAAAACGGTTCGACAGGCTGCATCATCAAGGAACCGGCAAGAGTGCTATGATTTTGTAGTTGCGGCGTCCTGCATGAACTGGGACAAGGTGTAGTTCTTGTCCAGCATATTGCTTGCAATCTTCCTGCCGAAGGAACTCGCAAACAGAAAGCCGGCTTTGGTGCGGAAGTTTAGTCTCCTGACGGTGCGCCAATCGGTTCCTTAGATGCGAAGGCCGGGCACCATGTCGGGGCCATCATGACGGCTGTGCTGCTGCAACACGAGGGACGAGAGACTGGACCACTGAGGTTCAGGCGCTTGCTCGACAGAACGCGACGCAACTTTGCGTTCGGAGCGGTCTTCCTCGTTGCTGCAGCGCCACCCATGGAACATTTGATGAGGTCTACGACTCCGCTGATGCTTGCTGAACACCAAACATTTATTAATCCTTTGAGCTCAAAACCTCGTCACCCGGCTCCATTCCCCTGAGAGCCCGCGCTTTGGGGTCTTGCCCGAAGTTGCCTTAATTAAGAATGACCATGGCCGGATGGTTGCCCAGCTGTTCATGCTGCATAGCCACTCCAGTTCCGCGACTGGGGCCGAGGCGTGCGCGACATTGTCCATTGATGCGAGTTTGGACATGGATGCCGAAATGGGAACACGTTTTCGCATCATCAGCTCATCTTCCTCGGCAGGACTCATGACTCTCCGGGTTGTCTTTTTGACCTGACTTGTAACAGGATGCACCTGCCACTAGCAAGAGCAGTCGTGTGGCTTGCGCTCACTACCGTAAAAGTTTGCAACACCGACATCCGTCAGAGGGCTCACAAATTTCCATGCTCCGCGAGGATTCTCCATGCCATTCATGCCATCGACCCGTGACGAACTGGGCCGCCCGCAACGCACTGAGGAACTGGTTCTTCTCGACCTGTGTATAATGCAGGGCATTCTGGCCCAGAAGACTTGACATGGGCTGCCAAACAGAGTCGTCTCATGAGCAGTGCTGCTTCAAGTAGCAAGATGGTAGAGGGGGACGTCAATCGATTCCCAGAATAGACGGAGGTTGTCTAAGGCAGGGCTAAGATGGACAAGAAAATTTGATATGGGACAGTACGATGCCAAACAGATGCATCTCATGAGCTGTGCTGTAGGATGGCAGACGAAAGCTTTTGCAAGCAGGCTGGACTGCTAGAGCACGAAATCCACAGCAAGAACATCTCAAGGCCCAGAGACATGCACCACCTGTCGGGTGGCAAAACACATGGATGGCCGAGCACAGGTTGCACATTGGTAGGATCCTTTGCTTCCTGCCAAGTCATTGCCCCAGCCGTTTTATCCCAGAGCCGCCCGCGCGTTGCGACGAAACTTGACGACATCCAGATAGATGTCCCCTTGTTGTCAAGCATAAATACTAAGGCCACGGCCAGGACTCTTCTCTTTCTTCGTCGTAGTTTCCGAGAAGCTGCGCAGGCATGCAGCTTAGGATAGAAGTCCCCGCTTCGGACGACATTAGTTAGAGGAACGACTGCTGCTTCACAATACGTCCAGCAATGTCCAGCATTGAGACGTGCAGGTATGGAGCGAGATTGGAGGTGCGGATCCGCAGACTGGCCCCTCAACCATCCAGGCTACCCAAGCTGCAACTGCATCAAAGGCCTCGGCTTCACGTACACCTGAGGCAGGAAGAACGGAGCATAGCATCGGAAGCTACGACACATCTGTGGCACATTTAAAGCACCTTGCAGCACGTGGCCTTGTTAAACTCGCTAAGAGGCGCCCAGGACCAAACGTTGAGCTGGGAGCCTGCAGAGCCAGGTGTGAAGTGCATAGCCCTTTACCCATCATGATCTTGAACACGATCTCTGATCATGCCGGAACAGAGCATAACAGAGCCTCAGGGACAGTCCTGCAAGAGATCTACCACAGCTGTCACAGCAGCCGGCCTATGGGCAAGGCGTCCTTGCTGTGGAACCTGCGCTTGCGCGGACTTCCAAACTGCCGAACGCGCGGAAGTCCACGACTCAAGGAGTGTCCTTGCATGGTATGGTGATGTATGGTGTTTCCCAAGCCGAGTGGCCTCTCCAGGCAGAAGTTGTCGTTGGCCGTGGCAAAGTCCTCCCAAAAGGCGTTACGACGACGGTGGGCGCCCCGCACCATTCCTCCACTCCCTCTCTGAAGTGTCCTGTCCAAGAGGCAGGCCAATGCACGCCACCTCGACAAAGACGAAGATTGATATCGTGTGAACTCTAGAACACTGCTAGACATAGGTTCAGTGATCTTCAGTTTCGCAGCTGAACTGATTCCCCTGGCCTTGGAGTGAGCGGGGTTCGTCACCCGAAATGTCACCTGCATGGCCACGAGCCAATTATTGGCAAACGGCCGCGTATGGAAACTTCCCTGGGATGCAATGGCACGCCTGATGCACACAATACAGGGTCTTCAACCCGGGATAGCCCTCGCTGTGGACATTGTCTTCGGTGTGATAGCTGTACCTCTCAATTCAAGCAAACACAGGGAGCACGTTGGGCCCAGACCAAGGGACGGCTTATGTAAACCCAGTGATGCCTCGCGTCTTCTCAGGGAATATCTGTGGGTTTGACAAATTTCGCTTCAGGTTTCAAAGACAGGAAAGCTTGCCGTGAGTTGACAAACGCTCCCGATGCAACACCTCTGCTGACTTATGTCATGGATCCCCAATTCACGCCCCCACACCTTTCCAAAAGTTTCGTGTCACCGGGCACGCGCTGGTGACCTCATCCAGCTGATGCTGAAAAGCGGATGAGCAGATCCCGAGTCTATCTTCCAGGACAGATGGCCAGCAGCTTTTCCACGATTCGGCATACTCGTTGTTCTCATCACAGAGGTTGATTTCACAGGATTGCAGCAAGGCGTTGTCGGAAGGCATCTTCCAGCACAACCTTCGCAGAGGAAGTTGCTGGCGCTGGATCTGCTGGCCGTCGTGCATGAACTGCAGTCGCGACACCATCACATGGTCAATGCCATTGATCTCTGCGAGTATGCGCAACTTTAAGATGCGCGTGACTCGCTTCAGCTTCCCCGTCCCAATTCCAGTCAGTATACTACCATGTTGGTAAAATATCTCCCAGAACAACTGCTCGACAGCCTTCGCGCCTTGGCTGCCCCAGCACGTCGTATCTATGCCATGACTACCCAGCATGTGCTTGAACTCATCCACCTCACTCCTCTCGATGCTGCTGGCGGTCCACGGGTAGGCTGAAGAAGGTATTCTCAGAATAGGCACCCCACGGAGCTTTCCGGAGACAATCCGAGGCGTACTGCTGTCTCTGCTGCTAGGTTTCGCAGATCCCCGATCGTTCTCAACATCCCTGTCGAGGTAAAGGAGGGATGTGCTCTGCAAGACCAGCCTCTGCGACCCGCCTTGGCAGCAGGCCTGTGCAGCGCCCATGGCGACATGAACAGATAGTCAAGCCGAAGGCTGAACTACAGATCGAAGGTGGGCTGCTGCTGATGGAGCTTTGGGCACTGGTCATCAGAACACGTTGCCAAGAAGCTGACTACAATGTAAGTAGCAGTGCTGCAAGGACATAGTCAGGCGTCAGTGTTTCTGCCTCTTGGGTGTTGTAACCATTCGAAAATTCTGACCTGCGGGAGTGAAGACAAATCATGGACCAACACTAGCCAAAACCCCCACGAGCTGGGCATTCCTTCTGAAGTATTCCGAAGCCTCAGCTGCCAGAGAAGTTACACAGCCATCTTCGGTCCCACTTTGGACTGAGTCTGGTCTAATGGGGACATATCAGACTTCGCTGGCTACCCCTTTGTAGACGAAACCGAAGTCATTTACATGCCATATGCCATCACAGCTGAAAACATGCCATGTTTACAGGTGTCCTCTCCAAAAGTTCAGGTACAAACCATACAACCCTCGGAGGAGAACAGAAAACCAATACAGGAGAGCCTGCCAATAGGCCTGATTACAGATAATGTCACGGCGGCTGAGGCGAGCTGAGGCGGCGGAGTTGGTTCTCTTGCAGCTGCACATGTGGTCGGACTTGTTGCCATGAAAATACGATGGTTTGGATCTGTGTCATTTGTGCAAGCTTGCCATTCCCTCAGCCTATAGTAGAAGCCAGAAAGTTGGAACATCAGACTGCTCATGCCCTTAAGGTAAAGTATAAGGGATTCTAGCACTAATCCTCCTAAAGCCATGTTCCAACTTTCTGGCTTCTACTATACCCGTTCAAGTGCAACCATCGGTGCACATGTCCTGACCAGGCCACATTCGCCACGCCGGTTCTCTCATAGTTGTGCATAAGGATGGCAGGTTTGGATCTGTGCCGCTTGTGCAAGCTTGCCAGTTCTCTTGCATCTCCGTGCAAGCGTAACCATCGGTTCAGATGTATACACCAGGCCTCATTCGCCTTGCCAATTCGTGTGCAATTGGGGCCAATGCCAACAGCAAGCGAGAACGTCTGAGAATCGGAGATGTTCACCATCTTGGAGCAAACCATGTCTGGAGTCACAGGAAACGGCTTGTGTGCTTGGAGCTTGAAGGAATGCATGTGTCTGGCATGTTGCTTTGGGAGAGTTCATGCCAGCACGACCACCTGCCCTTGCCATTCCTGTCTGCACACCTCTGCTGTCTCTGCGAACCCCGAAAATGGAAAACTGACACCGCGACTCGACCCCAGCCCCGTCCATGTAGTCTTCCGGCTTCAAGTTGAGGATCTGCCAATGGCTTGGAACAGGTCTTGCATCCCGAGCAAGGCTCAACAGCTGCAAAGTCGCTAGCCAGCCTTGTTGCCAACCTTGAAACCGATGTTTGGCAAACTGTCATAGTTGGAACAGTCCGCCTTGGCTGTCTATGAAGGCACTAGCATTGTGACTTTCATTACCAAGTCACATTGGAACCATTGACTAATTATTTTCGGGAATAAATTGAGAAACTGTCGAGCATCCAGGTTTGGGAGATTTGAAAAAATATTTGAGAGGATATGTGAGAGGAGAGAAACTTTGAGAGGATGGGGGAGGGAATTTGAGAGGAGAGAAATTTGAGAGGATATGGGGAGAGGGAATTTGAGAGGAGAGACATTTGAGAGGATATGGGGAACGGGAATTTGAGAGGAGAGACATTTGAGAGGATATGGGGAACGGGAATTTGAGAGGAGACAAATTTGAGAGGATATGGGGAAAGGGAGTTTGAGAGGAAAGAAATTTGAAAGGATAGGGGGAGAGGGATTTTGAGAGGAGAAACAAAAAGAGAGGATGCGGGAGACGTACGTTGAGAGTGGTGAGTTGTGAGTAGTGAGCAGTGAGTCGTGAGTGCGTAGTGAATCGGAAGGAAATATTTGAGAAGATATTGGAAACGGACGTTGAAAGGAGTATAGGGATTCTTTGCCGATTCACGCATATTTGGAAAGTGGTGGATAGTGCTACTTACTTGGACCGGCCGGGCTTGCGTCGGATGACGGATTTCGGAGGAAGTGGGTAACCGGGCAACTTCGGGGTTAACGGTTACAGCTCCTCTCCAATTGCCGGATCTCCCCTCTCAGATTTTCGGCTCTTCTCAACATTTAGGGACCTCTCCTCTCAGTTTTTCGGCTCCTCTCAAATTCCCGAAATCTCTCCTCTCAGATTTTCAGAAGGGGACGGCTCCTCTCAAATTCGCGGGACCTCTCCTCTCAGATTTTGGGACCGCCCAAACTTGAGAGGCTCCCTATGAAATCTGAGAGGATCCTCTCAAAATTTGAGAGGAGTCCTATGGAACCCTCTCAACTTTGAGAGGAATTTGAAGATTTCCATAGGAATCCTTTCAAATGTGAAAGAATTTCATAGGACTCCTCTCAAATTTGAAAGGATTTCCTAGGACATCCTCTCAAATTTGGAGCCCGCTGGGCCGGCTGGAATCTGTGAGGATCCTTTCAAGTTTTTGCTGGGTTGCAGGCTTTTGGGTTTGTGGGTTAGGGCTTTCTGCGTTTGCGGGTTTCTGGGTTTCTGGGTTTGCGGTTTCTGAGTTGCGGGCTGCTGGGTTCAGGGGCGTAGGGTGGTAATCATCTCTCTGGCGCTCGAGTTCGTGACGGCCAGGCATTGTCAACGATCCGATAGCACATCAGCAAAAGCTCAGCATTAAAGTGTGGGTCCCAGGTCGCATGAGGCCTCATCCCAGATAACTTATACGGGCCAACCCCCCGCAGAGCTAGTTTAAAACAAACTTTTTAAAAGGAAACAATAATGTCTATCGGACCCCCTCAACAAAAAAACAAAATCCGTCTCTAGAAATTTGCACCTGGTTTTACCACGTCAACAAGGAGCACGCACAAGGGGGTCTAGAATCCCAAACACCCGCGAAGGTCTAATATCCCAGACCTCTGCTTTGAGACCCTGCAACGTCCAGCTCGAGGGGTTACTGATTCCAGACCCTCAAGTACCTGAGGGGATCCTCTCCCCATATGCTCTCAAATTTCTCTCCTCTCAAATCCCCTCTCCCCCTATCCTCTCAATTTTTCTCTCCTCTCAAACATCCTCTCGAATATTTTCTCAAATCTCCCAAACCTTGTTTCGGAAAATGTTCTCAAAAATAGTTCCCTTGCTTGCCCTCAGTGCGTACCAGAAAGGAAGGTCACAACACTAGCACAACATGGTGAGGATGCGAAAGCGAGTCTTGCAGTGCTAACTCTTGGCCACCAGCGCGTGCAGCGACCCTTTCCTACGGACAGCGGACAACTTGCGAGTCCCGTTTGGAGGCACACACAAACGAAGGCATTGACGGCATGGCCCGAGGTTTCGAGCAGCCACTCCTGCAGACTGTTGACGAGGGCCGGTGGACCAGCCAACATCGACGTACCGGTGTCCACAGCCACCTGAAGCTGAAAGGCGCTTCTCGCCACGAAGCTACTGGACGGCGGCAAAAACCATCAGATCTACCCCACCTGGCACCCCATAATGCCGCAAAGGCCAGTGTCGCTGTTGTCGAATGTGATGTCCTGAACCGCCACCTCTCCATGCAGAAGTCTCGCACTCGAGCAGCATCGACATGGGCACCGCATGGCCGTGCGTGGAACACTTCTCATTCCAAAGTCTTACCATCACCATTGCCCGGGCAGCTACATTTCAATTCGGAGCAAAGCATGCAGACTTGGATATCTACTCCCTCACAAATTCGGGAAGACACGAGTCTACCAAGCATGTCGCAGCAACATTCCCTGAGCTCGCGACACTGCTGGCAATAGCTTTCTTTGTGGACGGAGTTTTTCAACAGATATACTGCTTTCTGAATGCCGATTCATCTGCACTACCACAACATGAACTCGAATCCTTCTCGCCATAGAGTCTGAAGTCTTCCCGAACACTGGGGATCGCTGCCTGCCAGTAGGACTCGTGCGTCACGGGCGCCCAAACCACCTCCGAGGCCAACTGCTCGGGCCTGGCACACTGGCACACCCTGACCCGAGTCGAGGTCGAGCCGGTTCGGCCTCTGCCAATCCCCGAATCTGTCCCCACCCAGATTACCCTTCCCCGGACCCTCTGTCCGCCAAAGCGCAAAGCGCTTTCATGCCCGCTGCGCGCTCCACTCAAGGTGCACCGAAGCGGCAACAAGACTCCCATCACAACATCGGGAAGAAGCAGAGCTCCAACAAGAATAAGTGACCGGGACACGGATGCAGCTGGCTGGCCTGTAGCCACCGAAGGTAATTTCGCTGGAGCCATCCTTTCAATCGAGCGGTTTGGAGAAGAGCTCTGCAAAGCCGTGTGCAAACCCAGACAGAGCTCGCCAGCTCGCCCGGCTCGCCCGTCCTCAGTCAAGAAAACCGAGAATTGCCCGGCAGGTAGGGAGCCTGTCCTCGGTAGCAGCTCAGACTCAGACCCTGTGCCTTGCAAAGGAGACTGAGCCTGAGAGTTTGGCTGATACATGTCGTCCAAGATGTTGAAGTTCAGCCCCATTGACAGATCCTCTCAAAGTCTGAATTTGCAGGGTCAGGTCCCACCAGTCTGGCGGAAGCCTTGAAGCCAAGGCCCAAGATGCCATCGAAGGGGGTGGAGGAAAAAGGCGCGGCCTCAGCTGCTTCGATTTTGACATACATTTCTGGGCCTGGCACCATTGTCAACCTGCTAAGTCATGCGGAACCTACAACGCCAGATTGTACGGAAAGGTGCTTCGGCTGAGCGGACGCCTTGGATCTGACCCAAAACAATGAGCCAAGCTGAGACATGGGCACTCTGCTCGACCGAGCCGATGAAGCGTACCTCTGATGAGGACAGCACATATGGCAATTCAGGACATCACTGTACGCGAGGCTGAACAAATCTGCACTCACACTGGCTAGGGCCAGGGGAGCCAGGCTGCAGGAATCACTGAGCACACCCAGCCTGTGAGCACAAGGACTCTGCGATGCAGAAGCGATCCTCGTAAAAGTCGCCTGCACCGGATCGGTGAATGAGCAACAGAGGTGCAAGTCATGTTCCTTCAAGTTAGGGGACCTTGAGAAGGTGGATGAAAGGGGGAGGAGGAGCAAAGGTTTGAGCAGTGGCCTTTGCTGTTGCGCAAAATCTGACTCTGGAAAAGTGGTTTCTGTTGGTGCATGCTTCAAAAAGCCTGTGATGGAGCCGGTGCCGAACGTGATCTCTGTCGATCCCTCACCGTTCTCGTTTGTCACCTGCAGGTTGCAGCCGGAAGTGAGAGGAACCCCCTCAGCCAGCGGCACTTGAGGCTCGAATTTTCCAAGGCGACGCATGCCAGGGACGACGTCTGCTGCGGTGCCTCCTTGGAGGTCGAAGACTGCTCCGGGACGTACTTTTTGTGCCGCGCGCACCTGGCTTCCGGCGGCAGCGTTTGGTTGTGGATAGTGATGGTCTTAGAATGACTCTCCAGTGCACCGTGGTGGTGGGTACATGATGAAGAGTCCCCTTTGAAACAGCTGACAAACCTGTTCATAAAGCTGCTGGCACCCGTCCGAAGTGCACTTCGCGGTGGGGAGGATCAAATTCCCGCTGCCGGTGTCGAAAATCACCTGTGAGGAGTCCACTGCGAAGCCTTCGGATGCACCTTCTTTTAGAGTCTAGCAGCTCTAGCACGCATGAAGATACTGACTAGATGTTGACTTGACTGTTGTGAGAAGTACCGTGCCTATTCAGCTATTCACAGCTAGGTAACACCAGTGCAAGAGGTGCTGCAAAAACTCGTCGGCCTTGAATTCCTGCGCTGGTGTGCCCACTCGAATGGAGCCCCAATAAGCCGTCTTGTGGACGATCTGCAGAAGGCCATGCAACGCTGCAGAAAAGAATGTCAGTCTTTTCTTGTCATCGCTTGGGGAAGCGCAGGACTCGTGGCACAAGAGTCTTCCCACACTACCTGCAAACGTTGCTGCTGATCTCTACCATGTCCCTCCAAAGCCTCGGTGGACATCTCGCCCATGTCTCTGCGTGCACGCTTGGACCTGGGACTCGGATTGACCCTTTGCTTTTTGTCGCTTTGAGCCGCTCGCGGCAGTTGTGAACGTGTGGCGGCCCAAACGTCTAACAGCTAACCCTTGCGTACCACATAAGAATTAACCCAGCTAAAGGATTGTGCATTTGGACGACGTTAGTATTGACACCTGCACCGTTGTCCGCTTGAGCTGCACGTGCAGAAACCGCATAGATATAACCTCAGTCCCTCCCTAAGAACTTCGTCTTGATGATATTGAAACCACTTACCCCAACACCCAGGTCGCGCTGTACGCACACACACACACACACATACACACACGCACGCGCACGTATAAACACCAAGGCAAGCAAAGCAGAGACCGGCATGCGCTGCACAGGGCAAGCTGGCTGCATGGAGCTGTCCAAGGAAGGGGCTTGAGCGCGTGCTTGTTGAAGAGCAGCGCCTGGATCCCGCGACAAGTCTCCAAAGAAGCAGCAAAGTCTGCAGCTGCCAGTCCTCATGGTAGTGTCCCACCCCGGCTGCTGATCTGCGCGCTTTGCTGCGCAATCTTCCTGCAACGCCATGAGTTGCTGGAGAGCCCTGGATCGCCGGCTGAGCGCACAGTCCTTTCAGGAGGGCTCCCTCCGTGAAGGGGAGCAGTGCAACAACCTGCCGGGCTTTCAGGTTTCAGTCTATCAGCAGCGCAGCGAGGGAGGGCGCACAAGCAGAAGTCGCACGAGCCACATTGTGTCGGAGCCTGGTGCAAGTGCTTAGAATCGGTGAGACCCAGACGCGACTCAACCGCTCTGATCCTGCCTGGTAACACAGGCAGTGGAGGAGATGGCAAGGAGCAGGCCTGCACTGTCAGCTGCAAACGACAAAGCGGCAAGATCATGTGCGGCCACATCTGCAAACGGAACATCTCTCTGAGTTCAGTAAGATGGACGGGACTGCGTGGGAACAGACCGGCAAGAACAGAGGCGTGCCTCAACAGCCTGTGGCAGCCACCTCCTCTGAAGGAGCCTACTGCCCCCCTCGAGCCATTGTTTGCCCCAGCGGAAATGTCAATGTCAGAAGACTGATGTCACGGAGCACTTCGTGCAGACGACTGGTTCAACCACGTGTGTGAACTCTTTGTGCGCGATGTCATTCGATTGACTCTTTCTCCAGCCTCACAACCAAACGACCACTAGGCTTCAAAAATACCTAGGGAGAATCGGTCTCCAAAGCATTCACTTGTATGGGATGCCAGGGTACCTGAAACAGAGGCAGAAGCACATGCTGTCTTTTGCGCGAGGCCGGACTGTAAGGCGGCCGCTGCGCATGGAACTTCACGAAATCGGAGCGATTGTTCATGCAGTAGTCCCAGTGAATGGCAGGGGGCCTGAGCGGCACAATAGGCAGCACATATCCTTCGAATGCCTTTAAACCCGATGCCCATTCGGACATGATCGGAACAGACAAGCTTCCGGCTCATAGATGCCCAGTGTCAAGACCTTCTTCCACTCGTCGCTCCACCAGCCTTCAAGGCCGAGCCCTACAGAAACAGAACGCTCTGCGGAAATCATGTTGGCCAGGGTTCCAATGCCAAGAGTGCCCTGCTGAGCTGCAGGCCGAAGCTGTACCAAGCAGCTGTCGGGGCAGCGACCTCAAACAAAACCACACCCATGCCTGGAGGATTCACAGAGCAGCTTAGTTTCGAGAGGAACTGCATGCATAAGCCACATCCACATGTCACTGAATTTTGTCCAATCTAATCGTCTCCATGTCCGAGAAAACGTCTGTCGTAGGTCCTAGATGGAACGGAAAAGGCATACCAAAAACATCTTCTAGGAGAACCTTCCAACACTGTGTTGCGCAGCTTTCGCGACATTTGGGGCCTTGGTTCCGGTGGCTGGCATGTGTCGCAGTTCGGGCGCCCAGCTTGTTTGCAACTGCCATTGCATGCAGTACTCAGGTTTCGGCAAAGACGCCCCAAGGGGCCATGCGAGACCAGACCTGTCCAGGAACAGCCCGCAGCCCACACTCCTTTGCTTGAGACCTGAAGTGGGCTCGGTTTGCTCGGTCTGCCTGATACCAGCCATAGTTACTGCGCTGCGTCCATGCAGCTGTGGATGCCCAAAGCTTGTAGTACACCGCCTGCAGCTCAACATGGGAGCAATCGAAAAGAGCTCAGAGGAAATGAAATCGAAAGTTGCCTTCGTCATCGTGTCGGTGCTCGCCGTTGGGCTTTGAGCCACTGGCTTTGGTTCAACGAGCCTGCCTCCACGCGTGGGAGCATGAATCGTGCACACAACACGAGAGCTCACGACGGCTACGATCAGTTTCTCAGCCACGGCCAACACAGCAGATGCTACTCTGTCACAGCTGGATTCTTTCTGCAAGTGCTCGGGAAGTCAATCTCTGCTTATCTATGCACATCTTCACACTTGTCTCACTCAGATCATGAAGGTCAGTTCCAGAACGGTCCGCTGGACAGTTTCGTCGCCCTCACTTGTAGGGGATGCCCGGGTACCTGATTATTGCACTGACTCCCGGCACATCCGGCACGCTCGCCGTAGTGAAGCTCCCTGCTTGCAATGGAACGAGTAGCACTACGAATGTACTATAACAATTGTTGCCAACCCTTGCAATCTGAGGCGCGATAACTTATGACACTCATAATCATGCGTTCTGAGGCTTCGGCTGCGCATGGAACTTCACGAAATCGGAGCGATTGTTCATGCAGTAGTCCCAGTGAATGGCAGGGGGCCTGAGCGGCACAATAGGCAGCACATATCCTTCGAATGCCTTTAAACCCGATGCCCATTCGGACATGATCGGAACAGACAAGCTTCCGGCTCATAGATGCCCAGTGTCAAGACCTTCTTCCACTCGTCGCTCCACCAGCCTTCAAGGCCAAGCCCTACAGAAACAGAACGCTCTGCGGAAATCATGTTGGCCAGGGTTCCAATGCCAAGAGTGCCCTGCTGAGCTGCAGGCCGAAGCTGTACCAAGCAGCTGTCGGGGCAGCGACCTCAGATGGACGTGCTCGCACGAAGCTGTTCCTATACATAACAGACATGACATAACACTCACATCTAAGCCGACAAAATCTTGGGCTTCGACAAAGACGCCCCAAGGGGCCATGCGCGACCACACCTCAAGGTTCAACTGACGTTGCCGCAAGACAGTGTAGCCACGGATCCATTCCATGCAATGACCAGCGCACCTGGTACCAGCCATAGTTACTTCTCTGGGTCCACGCTGCGGTGGATGCCCACAGCTTGTAGTACACGGCCTGTCGGCGGTACTACGGCGCATGCCGGAACGAGGTTTAGAGTGTCACGATTCAGATGGAAGCTAAATCAAGGTGGAGAATTTTTTTGCACCTTTTTGTTTTGCCTTTTGTTCTTTGTGGTGGGGGCAGGGCTCTGTGTTTCTGTAAGAAACCTCTAACTTTCGCTAAATTTTCGCACGAAAACCCTTGTTCTCTTTATACTTTCATAGCAAAAACCTTTATTTTCGGGAAACCCATCAAAAAAAAATTCAATCAAAAGAAACTTTCAGCGAAAATCAAAAAAGAACTTTTTCACCGATCAAAAAAAACCTTTTTTCCAATCAAAAAAAACTTTCTCCATGTGTAGTAGTAGTAGTAGTAGTAGTAGTAGTAGTAGTAGTAGTAGTAGTAATAGTAGTAGTAGTAATAGCAGTAGCAGTAGTAGTAGTAGTAGTATCATCATCATCACACTCGCTGCGGACGGTAAAGTCGCAATGCGCTGATTGGAGCAGGAATCACCTGGCGCACAGTGGCGCACGATCACACTTGGATCGTCTCGGAACTAACTACGTTGTGCCCCGAAGGGCCTATGCGGAAGTGGCAGCACTCCTCAGTCTGTATACGAGTATGTAGCTGGAGGTGGAAAGGGCTTCCAGGCGAATGGATTGTGCAGCTCTGTTGTCATCTGTGTAATGCCAGAGGGGTGTAACATCAGAGCGAGGCTTGAGTGCAGCACGGTAGTGCCCCGTGACCGTAGTAGGTCCGATATGCTGGACAATCGCCTGAAGCTGATAAGTTCTCCAAATGACTTCAGTGGAGGTGGGGATCCATTGAGGAAAGAGGACTTCCTGGTCTGCTTCGATGCGATGGTCACTTTTGGTAGCAATGCCCCGCTCATTGCAGAATCTGTTCAGCTGTACAGCCACAGCTTCAGTACCTGAGATCAAGGCGTGGCGACGTTTCTGCGAGTACCAACGATTGATGCAGGACTGGGCTGAGGTAGCAACGGCAGTAGAGGCATCTTGGATACCAGAAAGGATGAGTGGACAAACCCCGCCTTCATCCTGGAGCACTCTGCGGTCATCATAAGATTGCCAGAGGCCTTGGAAGCAGGGTGCATTTAATACCTGGTGAAGGTGTAGTAGGAAGTCCGCGGCATCGTGCTGTCTGGCAGGATTAGTCCAGCGCCGGAGTGCCTGTCGCCATGGTAGAAGGGACCACAGCGTCAGTTGTTGCTGCTTGCGCGCCTGCGCAATGAAGCTCCTTATCGGTTCCCGGTCCAGTACCTGAAGGGATGAGGTTGACAAAGACGCAATCCAAAGGTAGGTCAGGAGGCAAGCGTGGGAGTAGCAGTAGTTGGATGGGTTGTGAAGCCGCAATGTCGGAAGTAGTGCTGAGGTCTCGGCTGCTGACGTGGCATGGGAATGTTCATGGATTGCAAGAGGGTCTGGAGCTGCTGCGCCAGGGCTGATCGTTGGAGGCGATCCGGGCGAAGGGTGCAGCCCACCATGAGGGGAGAGGAGTTGTGCGAGAGGAGCTGGAGTAGCTCCCAAAATCGGGCTGTCTGCTCTCCTCGCCATCCCACTTCCAGAAGCCAGGTGACTGTGCTTCCTTCCATCTTCTCCTCCAGTTGCCTCGTGGCGTGAAAGCGATTGAGCAGCTGTGGCTGCACACTCAGTGTCGCCAGTTCCTGAGCCACTTCCACCACCTTCTGGGCCATGAGCGGCTCTCGGTCCGGGATGGCTTGCATGGCACCTTCCTTGTTGTTCCACTTGCGGTAGCCAAATCCCGTATTCGGGTTGTACAGCTCCATCTGAACAGCCTGTTCCCGTGCGTCCGCCTGATCTATCACCTTCTGCGCACGCTGCGCCAACTCCATCATCAGCTTCTGCCATAGGATGATGCGCATCGGCTGCGTGATGGCGTCCGGGTTGTTCCATCGCAGGTCGTGCCAGCCTTGGGCTGTGGCGAACAGCTTGGGGAGGATGGTGCTTTCCGTCTGGGTCGTGAGGAAGAGAATCCAGGTGGTGGATTGCTGCAGCACCGAGAGGGCGTCCTCGTGTCTCATGAGGAGCCTGGCCATGGTGTGGCACATGAGGTGGAGATCTGGGCCGGAAGTAGGCCCGTATCCCTGTCCTTGGCGCTGCCAGGGAGGCTGAGGATGGTACCCGGAGGGGCGACCTCCTGGCCGTCTTGGTTGTCCGCCTTGGTGGGGAGACCGTCCTGCTGGTGCCGACTGGTTCGGATGGCCTCGGCCCGCCGCGCCTTTCCCTTTGCCCGGAGGAGGGGCTCCTTTGCTGTTGTCGCGGTGCCACTTGGAGGGTCTGCCCGCTGTCTCTTCCGCCGGTGGGGGATGTGAGGTGTCCATTGGTTCGCTCTGGGCGGGGAGGTCTGCTGCCTTCGGCGCCGGTGACGGCGGGTTCGGGATCAGGCGTACCTGTGCCTCGATACTCTTGAGCTCCATGGTCGCCTCCTCCAGGTCCTCCGGGTTGACTTGATGGGTGTTGAACATCGAGGGCAGAGTCATGTCGGACCTGGGCCGTGTGGGCAGTACTGTGCATTTCGAAGGTGGCTTGCAACAGGTGGACCAGGAACAAAACTGCGCACTCAGTGGCGTGCTTGATGGGTGCTCCCGTAAGAGACAGGCTGCAGTAGCGACAGGTTTTCCCGAGGGCCAAAAGCCTGCGGTGGGTCTGCATGCGGCGGACTGCTTCTTCACAACATGCAATCATGGGAGGGTGCTTGGCTTTAATGTGCGCGCGGAGGCCGCGGGCTTGGGTCAGCCATTGGTGGCAGTACGGGCAATGTTGCACTGCCTGAGGAAACGCCTTTTTCATCCAGGAGGCAAGCTGTTCCCAGGTGCCTAGGAAAAAGGGCTGGCACTCGGGTCTATGGTAGAGCGGTGTCGGGTTTAGTAGCAGTAGTAGTAGTAGCAGCAGTAGTAGTAGTAGTAGTAGTAGTAATAATAATAGTAATAGTAATAGTAATAGTAATAGTAATAGTAATAGTAATAGTAATAGTAATAGTAATAATAATAGTAATAGTAATAGTAATAGTAATAGTAATAGTAATAGTAATAGTAATAGTAATAGTAATAATAATAATAATAGTAATATAGTAGTAGTAATAATTAATAGTAATAGTAATAGTAATAGTAATAGTAATAGTAATAGTAATAGTAATAATAATAATAATAATAGTAATAGTAATAGTAATAGTAATAGTAATAGTAATAGTAATAGTAATAGTAATAGTAATAGTAATAATAATAGTAATAGTAATAGTAATAGTAATAGTAATACTAATAGTAATAGTACTAGTACTAGTAATAGTAATAGTAATAGTAATAGTAATAGTAATAGTAATAGTAATAGTAATAGTAATAGTAATAGTAATCGTAATAGTAATAGTAATAGTAATAGTAATAGTAAGTAGTAATAGTAATAGTAATAGTAATAGTAATAGTAATAGTAATAGTAATAGTAATAGTAATAGTAATAGTAATAGTAATAGTAATAGTAATAGTAATAGTAATAGTAATAGTAATTTGTAATAGTAAATAGTAATAGTAGTAATAGAATCGTAATAGTAATAGTAATAGTACTAGTAATAGTAGTAATAGTAATAGTAATAATAGTAGTAATCGTAATTGTATTGTAATAGTAAGGAATAGTAATAGTAATAGTAAGTAGTTAGTAAAAATAATAGTAATATGGAGTAATAGTAATCGTAATAGTTAATAGTAATAGTCATAATAGTAATTAGTTAATAGTAATAGTATGTAAGAGTTAGAAAAATAGTATATTAGTAATAGTAATAGTATAGAGTAAGTAGTACATTAGTAATAGTATTAGTAATAGTAATAGTAATAGTAATAGTAATAGTAATTGTATAGTAATAGTAATAGTAATAGTAATAGTAATAGTAATAGTAATAGTAATAGTAATAGTAATAGTAATAGTAATAGTAATAGTAATAGTAATAGTAATAGTAATAGTAATAGTAATAGTAATAGTAATAGTAATAGTAATAGTAAATAGTAATAGTAATAGTAATAGTAATAGTAATAGTAATAATAATAGTAATAGTAATAGTAATAGTTATAGTAATAGTAATAGTAATAGTAATAGTAATAGTAATAGTAATAGTAATAGTAATAGTAATAGTAATAGTAATAGTAATAGTAATAGTAATAATAATAGTATTAGTAATAGTAATAGTAATAGTAATAGTAATAGTAATAGTAATAGTAATAGTAATAGTAATAATAATAGTAATAGTAATAGTAATAGTAATAGTAATAGTAATAGTAATAGTAATAGTAATAGTAATAGTAATAGTAATAGTAATAGTAATAGTAATAGTAATAGTAATAGTAATAGTAATAGTAATAGTAATAGTAATAGTAATAGTAATAGTAATAGTAATAGTAATAGTAATAGTAATAGTAATAGTAATAGTAGTAGTAATAGTAAATAGTAATAGTAATAGTAATAGTAATAGTAATAGTAATAGTAATAGTAATAGTAATAGTAATAGTAATAGTAATAGTAATAGTAATAGTAATAGTAATAGTAATAGTAATAGTAATAGTAATAGTAATAGTAATAGTAATAGTAATAGTAATAGTAATAGTAATAGTAATAGTAATAGTAATAGTAATAGTAATAGTAATAGTAATAGTAATAGAATAGTAATAGTAATAATAGTAGTAGTAGTAGCAGTAGCAGTAGTAGTAGTACGAGTAGTAGTAGTACTAGTAGTAGTAGTAGTAGTAGTAGTAGTAGTACTAGTAGTACTAGTAGTAGTAGTAGTACTACTACTACTACTACTACTGGTACTAGTACCAGTAGTAGTAGTAGTAGTAGTAGCAGCAGCAGGAGTACTAGTAGTAGTAGTAGTAGCAGCAGCAGGAGTAGTAGTAGTAGTAGTGGTAGTGGTAGTGGCAGTGGTAGTGGTAGTGGTAGTGGTAGTAGTAGTAGTAGTAGTTGTTGTTGTTGTTGTACTAATAGTATAGTTAAATCATAGCGAAGCGTAGGGCCAGGTGCCAGCTCTGCAGTGAACGCCTTTAACCGAGGCCCACAAGGGGGAGAGAAAAAAACAAGGCAAAGAAAAAAAAACAAAAAAAAATCAAAAAAAATAGGGTCCCCTCCTTCCTGCCTTCCTGTCTGCCTGCCTGCCTGCCTTCCTTCCTTGCTGCCTTGCTTCCTTCCTTGCTTCCTGCCTTCATTCCTTCCTTTCTTCCTTCCTTCCTTCCTGCCTTCATTCCTGTCTGCCTGCCTGCCTTCCTTCCTTGCTGCCTTGCTTCCTTCCTTGCTTCCTGCCTTCCTTCCTTCCTTCCTTCCTCGCCCTTTCTCCCCGCCTTCCTTCCTTCCTTCCTTCCTTCCTGCCTTCCCTCCTGCCATCCTTCCTTGCTGCCTTTCTTCCTGCCTTCCCTCCTTCCTTCCTTCCTTCCTGTCGTGCTTCCTTTAATAAGGGAAATTTTTTTTGATTGAAAAAAAACTTTTGATTGACAAAAAAAATTGATTGAAAAAAAAAATGATTGGCATCCCGCAATTTTCGGTGTGGAGTCACTTACTGTCGCCACCGAAAACCGGGGTCACTTAGCCACTGCAAGTCCGCACCGTTTTGGGCGACTTAGCAACCAAATTTCCGGGTCGCTTGGCCACCGGATGCAAAATTTAGGGTTCCGGCTGTAAGCTTCACGTCGGTTTCATCCTATATCGTAAACACACCCCTTCCTTTGGAGATTCCGGTTCCTCATGTATGTAAAACACGCCCCCTCATTTGGCGCTTCTATTCATCATATATCTTGAACACACCCTGTCATTATCACTGTCATGTGGCGATTCCGGCCACCGCATTCAACACTAAGGTTCAGAATACCTGCTTCACATGCATCTTAACAACGTCCCTCATTCGTGACTCCGGTGCATGTGGCGGTTCCGGTTCATCACATCTCTTAAATATGCCCCCTCATTTCGCGATTGGGATTCATCACATGTCTTAAACACCCCCCCCTCGTTTGGCGATTCTGGTTGATCATATCTTAAACACGCCCCTCATTTGGTGATTCCGGTTCCTCATATACCGAAAAAATGCCCGCTCGTTTGGCGATTCCGGCTCATCCTATTATTTAAACACGCCACCTCATAGGCACTTCCGGTTCTTCATATCTCTATCTTACGCCCTCGCATTTGGCGATTCCGGCTAATCATATACCTTAAAAACGCCCCCTCGCATCCTATAATTCAAACACGCCACCTCACAGGCGCGTCCGGTTCTGCATATGCATATACATGCATATATATATATATATATGCATATATATATATATATGTATATACCTTAAACACGCCCCCTCATGCGGCGATTCCGGTCCATCATAAATCTTAAACATGCCCCTCATTCCACGATGCGGATTTATCATATATCTTAAACACGCCCCCTCATTTGGCGATTCCGGCTCATCCTACAATTTAAACACGCCACCTCATAGGCGATTCCGGTTCATCATTTTGCTTGAACACGCTCCCTCATTTGGCGACTCCGGTTCATCATATATCTTAAACACGCCCCCTTGTTTGGCGATTCCGGTTCATTATATACCTACAACACGCGACCTCATTTGGCGATTCCGGTTCATGATACCCCCTTATTGGGCGATGCTGATTATCATATATCTTAAATGCGCCTCCTCGTTTGGCGATTCCGGTTCGTCATCTATCTTAAGCACGCCCCCTACATTGGTGATTCTGGCCACCGGATTCAACCTTTTAGGGTTCGGGCTTTAAGATTCAAACTTCCTCGGACTCATCCTATATCTTAAACACGCCCCTTCATTTGGCGATTCCGGATCCATCACCTGTTTGAAAAACGACCCTCATTTGGCGATTCCGGCTCATCACACATCTTAGAAATGCCCCCTCATTGGCGACTCCGGTGCAGGTGGCGACTTCGGTGCAGGTGGCGATTCCGGTTCATCACCTACCTTAAACATGCCCGCTCACTTCGCGACTGGTATTCATTATTCATCTTAAGCCCGCCTCCTCATTTGGCGATTCCGGTTCATTATATCTTAAAACACCCCCCCTCATTTGGCGATTCCGGTTCATAATAATACATCTTAAACACGCCCTCTACTTTGGCGATTCCGGTTACTCATAGAGCTTAAAAACGCCCCCTGGTTAGGCGCTTCTGGTTTCATATCTTAAACACGCCCTCTCATAAGCGGTTCCGGTTCATTATACTTACGACTTACAACACGCCGCCTGATTTGACGATTCCGGTTCATCATACCCCCTTTATGTGGCGATTCCGGTTCATCACATATCTTAAAACACCCAGCCCGATTTAGCGATTCCACGTCTTCTTATATCTTAAACACGCCCCCTCATGTCGCGACTCCGATTCATCAAATATCTGCAACATGCCCAATCATTTCGCGATTCGGATTCATCACATACCTTGAACACGCCCCCAAACACAATGATCGCGTGATGGGTTTCAAAAGGAGATCTCATATACGTTGAAGCAATCTTGCATGGCTTAAAACAGCGGAGGGATGGGGGGGGCACCCCGATTTGCAAACAGAATGTTCGCATCATAATTAAAAATCCAGAAACACTCACATGCTTTGAGGCAAGCTTGCGTGGCGTAAAAAAACGGGGGGTGTTGGGGGGGGGGGGGGCGCAGCCCCCCCCATTTGCAAACACAACGCTCGCATGATGGGTTTCCAAGAGACTGCTTTGAAGCAAGCTTGGGGGAAGCAGAATGCTCGCTTGATGGGGCGCAGCCCCCTGCCAGTTGCAAACACAATGCTCGCATGATGGGTTTTACAAAAAAAGATGCGGTGGAGCGAGCTTGCACGGCTTGCCCTCCCAACTCTTTCTTTCTTCCTTTATTTCGTTATTTCTTTCTTTGTTGCTCTCGTTATTTGCTTCTTCCTTCGGGTAATTCATTTGCTTCTTGATTTATTTCTTTCCTTTGTTATGTCTTTCTTTCGTTGTGTCCCTACCATCTTCCCTTCAATTGCCATGAACATCAACAAGAAATACACGTTTTCCTCTGAAACCATCGAGAAAATAGAGCTTTCCTGCCAGATCAAAAAGAGAATCCCCACCACAAACAAGAAATGCCAAAGAAAAAAAAAGGCGAAAAAAATTGGTCCCCACTAAATCAAGGGAACATGCTCCGATAGCCCTCATGTGCAAGCGTGAACAGCGGTCAACGCCTTTGTCATGGTCGGCTCAGCCGATGGGTGGCAGCGCAGCACCACGGTTTCAAGAGCTTGAGCCCACAGAGGCTGAGATCCTAAGAGCTGCCTCGAAGAAACCTTTCAGGACGCACATCGCGAAGTGGGCGCAGCACGAGCATCTTTACATCAGACTGAGCATCTTCAAGCCACGTATGAGCATGTGTCAGACAGACTGCCAAGCGGCTCAGCTGTGAAGCTTCTTTGCATACCTCAGTCCCGGCAATTCCGATACCTCCTCGAAGATATCTCAACAAACACACACCAAGCTGCCTAAGACCAAAGATCTTGCGTCTACACTGGCGTCATGCTATGTATGATGAACCTGCTAAACCTATCTGAGCTGTCCCGTCCTCTTACGGATTCTCGGGTTGCGCGGTTGAACAAGCTAACTAGATATGGTGAGTCCAGGAGCGCACGAAGCAAACGGTCGATGTAATGGATGTAGTCGTCACCTTGCGGCTGCGAGCAGCTTCCAGACAAAACTGAAGAAATGTCTCAAACCTCAAAAACCCTTGACATGGGGTGTGGACAATGACCGGGGGGACTTAAACAAGCTACAAGTGTCAGTGCTGCCTTCCGACAATTGCAGCATGTGAAATGTACAATCAGGAGACATGTTCGTGCTGAAACATGCAGTCGTCACGCATCATCGCTTCGTACTTCGCTACGATCTGGTTGATTAGTTGCCCGCTGGCGACAAGCCGTTCACCGGAGCATCGTGGGCATGATGATCTGCCCGTGCACCCGAACTGTAGCCGAGGAGCATGTCAAGTGACCTGGGCATACGGTGGAAGCAAGCCACAAGTTAGAGACCTCATGACCCGTTGCTGACCTCGTGCACCCCTGTACAAGCAGCGCTCACTTGAAGGAAAACCTTGACCGAAATGACCCCTGCAGCGACCTTTGGAAAGTCCTTGCCATGCAAAACCATCAGCCAGGCCACGATGAGCAAAGGTAACACCATTCTGGGCAATGGCCTTCGCTTCGGCATCGTGCGAGATTAGCCACTGAAGCCGATCAACCAAATCGCTGAGATCGTACCTCAGTTGAACCAAAAGCTGCATAATATATGAGTGACAAATGCCCGACTCAAAACACTGGAGCCATTTGACATGTGATTCGAAAGATTCAATGGCACAACTGTGCCGACTGCCTACATGCATGTCAAGCAAGACAAGTTCATGTGAAGCACGTCGGCTGAAACTTAACAGCAGCGTCTTGCAAATCCATTGCGGAGGCTCCTGTTCACCTTTGCACCACGTTTGCATGTTAGTTTGATTTTCGTCTGTCGTCTTGCACGAAGTCAGAGCCGCGTGTGTGAGGTATCGTCGTTCGTTGGTACGGTCCAGCATGAAGACCATGCCCTACTCGGTTGACTCACTGCAGATTCGAGTTCAACACGACATCCTGACCTGCAGCCACGGCCTACTTGTCGGGTATCATGGGGAACTAAAGGTTTCTAACCTCAGCTATGTCACGACAGTGGGACGAAGTGAACCCATGGCTGCAACATTCTCAGAGGTCCCATCACTTGCCACGGCTGGTCTGGGATAAGGACGACAGATCCCATGAAAAGCTGCCATGCCAAGCGGTCAGTTGCACTGTTTCCCTCCAAAGCAATCTGATACTTGTATAGCTCAAAATCCTCAGCAGAAAGCCTGGGAGCAAAGAGCCCTTCATCCTTCAAAAAGCGCTCAAGGTCGAGAGCCATAGGCGGCAGCGTTGTGCTCTCCACGAACTTTGCATCGATGAAGGGTACGAACCTGCTAAGCCAAAGCAAGCGCCCACGCGGTAGCTGGAGCCATGTGCTGAAATTCCAGACACCTTCCCGCAGTTTGCCAGGCGGCAAAACCACACACCTCTCCATCATCGCATCGTCTCTTGCTGCGTGCGCAGCCTTGCAATCCGGAACCCACAAGTTTGAGTGAGTGCCCCTCCAGATTAGGACAGATCTGCGATCCTCCCACCTGCTCCGTTCCAAAGCCAGCATCCCCTCCTTCAGCTTTTTACCACACTGCCCCGGGTGCATTTGCCACTCGAAGGGTAGTGCCAAGGTATTTGTCCAGCGAGTTCCGGTGCGAGTGAAGACTGGAGCCTCGGATAGGGTGTTTTCAACTGTCTCGTCACCAGCATTCAAGACGAAGGCCAAGGCAGGAAGTGGATTGATGGCTTGTATGACCTGCAAAGCCATCAGAACTGCACGAAGATATGAGCAGTCAAAATCACGACAGGCATGGCTCTCGGCACATGATGAGACCGTTGTGTTCTGATGGACCGAAATCACACAACCTCTGGCAAGTTGAGTGCCACCCATGTTCCAGAAAAGCTTTGGTCCATCTATTCGAACGATTTCTGGCTCCGGTCGCAGTGACTGCAAGTCTCCATCAATAATTTGGTCAACTTCAGCAATAACACTCAAGGTCTTGCGTGCATAGACAGGGAAGCAGCATCTAGCATGTTGCAACCGGATGTCTTCCTCGCTTGGGCGGCCTCCATCTTCCTCACACTGGCTTTCAGCAGGATCGCAGCAGTCGCAGAAACGGCTCCACAAAAGGGGAGAGTCTGGAACGCTGCAGGCGAAAGACCACATCCCCATGGGCTGGGCCAGCATCGCTTCGTATGGTAGCATGTGCACTCGCAAGGCCTGGACCTGATCATCAAGTTCTGCGTCCTCGGCCTGTGCTTGGAAATCTCGCAGAGCTTTTATCTTGGCCTCGACTTTCTCCTCAATCGAGTCGAAACATCTCTGTGATTGCTCTGTCAAGGAATAGCAGCACAGCTCCCTGGTAATCCAAATTCCCTGCCAGCAGTCAGGATCTTCACCAATGCAGCAGCGAAGGTAGGTCCTGTCACCTTGGAACTGTTCGTGGGAACCGAACCTATGAGAACTGCAACTGTGACTTCCTCCGCCTCATTTCAGATGACGAGCTACTGTTGTACCAGCACAGGCCATTCCCTTCCTCGCCGGCCTCGACCCGCCAGGAAGTGAAGTCACTGTGGCAGAGTGCGAGCAGCGCTCCCCGGGACACCAGCCTGCCCCGCCAACCCCATGCCACCATGGCCGAGAGAAGGACTTCATATCGCACATGGGCACCCCTTCTAGATAGAGCGCCAGTCCAGTGAAGTGCTCGGAAATCATACGATGGGTCTGAACCAGCCAGTCCCAAGCGTGTAGCAAAAGTATTTCAGGCAAGGCAAGTCTTCGCCGTCATGCACCTCTAGGTCGATGTGGCGAAGGTGGGAATGGTGGGGAGGTGAGAGCGTGCTTATCTGCTGCAATGCTGGCCAATGCTGGCTGCACATGCCAACATGTGCCAACTACAAGCCCTGCATTCGAGATGCCGTTATCGTAAACTTGCTCTCACGGATTGACATCATAACCAAAGCCGGCAAAGCCACGCTGCAGCTTCTTATGGCCGTTCTGACTAGCAGATCGGCGCTTACACAGGGCTTCAAATTAAGCCCCTGCCGAGCAACTCCCACGCCTTCCATGTGAAAGCCAAATCGAAACCTGCGGATGAGTGCTGCATCGATACTCAACCAGCATCCGCGTTTTGGGAGGACCGGGAGGCCAAACAACTAGCAAACAGCTCGAGATACTGAAGTATATGTTGCGATGTTGAGATGGACCGCACCTGAACACTTTGTCGCAGTCGCACGTCTTTCTGCAAAATACGTGGTGAAACGAAAGCATGGAACTGAACAGGGCCGTTGGCCCGCAGCCCGGAGAAGTCCCCCTGGCCAAGAGCAGCCGCAGGTTGCCGTGCGCTCACTGTGCGATGCCAAGTTCCCCTACGGTTCTACACGAGGTTCTCCTTTCATAGATAACCTTCTGATGAACTGAAACTGGCGCAAGAGACTGAGGCAGCACAATGGTTAGTCTGAAAGCAGGCAACTTCCTGGTAGCGTTTTGAAAAGCACGCGAAACAAGTCCCTCTGCACAAATATTTTGCGCAGCAAGGGTGATCCTTGCAGATCTACTGTAGTCACTAAAGCCATGTGGCCGTCTTCTTGTTGCTCAACAACGATTGCAACTGCGACTCACACTTCAAGCAAAGCAACCATCTAGTGGAATACTCTGCGGGAATACTCTGCGGAAACTGCCTTGTCAAGGCAGCGGATTCTGAAAGCATGAGTTGATAGCATGATGCAGGCGAAGCTGCTGCAACTGCCAATTTGTGCACTTTCTCATCAAGACCTCTTCGGCGGCGCCCGGGCCCAGCTTGATGGACTTGGCGAGTCACCAGGCGTCTTGGCCCGAGACTCCGGTTGAGGCTTCGACTTCATCTGTTTGGCCGCCCACCTCAGCTCCCATCTCTAACACCCGAGCCCGAAGTGTGTAGCAGCCAAGTTGACAATTGCAGCTCAGGTCCAGGCTTGCTTCCAGTCCACCAGAGCACACCTTTCGACTTCTGCATCTCGGGCAGTGGTGGAGCATTCTTCTGGACCGTGATCTGCAAAGGTCCGATCCTCCCAACCGAGGCCTGGCGAGATTCGGCTGAACTGCACAGCTCCACCTCACTCCAACATGAGCCTCCGCAGCGGGCGTGGGAAACATTCCCTGAGCGAGGAGCTCTTCCTGATGCTCCCAGCCTGCTCATGCGACTGCACTCATGTCACGAGACGCGGTATCGGATCTCCCTTCGTAGCTGGACATTCCAAGCAACTGAGCTCCACGAACAGTGTGCAAGTACCTTCTCTTTGCGCAACAAACACCTGAGCGGCTTAGCACTACGGCACCTGCTCTTGGTGGAGAAGAGGATTACAAACAAAAGATTTTGTCAGGGTGCAAGTCGTCTGTCAACGGGAAGTCGAGCAACACGTTGTGAGACTCCACTTTGTGGGCGCTTTTTTGTCGGCTTGGGCGCTGTCGGAGGCTGTGGCACAAGCTCATTGCCGCCTGGACCTGTGGAAAGGACCACAAAAAGCGTCTCTACGAGTTGCCAAGGAAGAGAGGCCGGTCTACCTGCGTCTCTTGGGTACAAACATCTTTCCAAGTGGCCTGCATTTTCTGGAACAGCACCGGCCAAGGCCTGGATCACCTGCCACAGGAGACATCCGTCCGCTTCGGATGCAAGCGACCTACCGTGTGGTCGATACAGCTCAGCCAAAAGAGCCCCTGACGTCCATTCCTCGAGGACCAAAGTCAAACTAAATCATGGCTGCGGGGCACATCTGGATCCCACAGCACAGACTGGCGAAGTCAGACGTGCTATGCAGAGCCCCTCGAGCCTTCTTGCCTCTCTTGCCCTTCTGCACTTGCACCTGCTCAAGGCTTGGCTTGGAGACCGCACCACCATCTCCTGTGTAGATCTTGCAGGAAATTCCAAGCGCTTCTGGAGGAAGGCTGATGACCAGGCTGTCGCCAAGGGCGATGCGCAAGTCTCTGGGACACTTGATGAAGCGACTGCGACTCGATCCCAGTAGTTGCAGCTCCCAATCCAGACACCAACGAGTACCAGTCTGAATTCGTAGACTGTTCAGCTCCAGTTCCTGACAAGGCCTTGGCACACGCTTCCGAACATACTTCCCCGGGAGTCTTCATGACCTACTAGCACAGACACAGTTCGTGCTTTCGCTCTCCAAGTGGCACGTCCTGCAGCTGAAAAGCTCTGGGTCTGACATTAGACACGTAGATCGCGGGCGCGGAGAAGCCCGTCTTTTTCGCTGCAGCATCGAACATGTCATGGAGAAGCTTTGTGCCGTTTTCTGGCAACAAAAGATCCAGTCTCTTCTCCATGCCGCGACCAGCAGACTGCCAGAAGACTGCAAACCACATCCGGATCAAACCAAGTTTCAGGCGCAGGACCGTGAGGAAATCTGACAGCCGCGTGATGGAACTTGGCAGCTCCAAATCTAGAGCATGTCGATATGCAGACTCGAGGTGTTGGGCTTGCGTCGGCAACTGGAAGGCTCCGAAAGCTTGTGGCATGTAAACTGCAATCTTCACACTCAAGGTCGGGGTGCGGGTGTCAGGATGTGACCTCACTTTCCGCAACATCTGAAGTGCAGCAGAGAGATCTTGTTCGAAGAACTCTTCCAATACATTGCAGCTAAGCCAAGTGAACTCCTCCAAATCCAAAAGCCTCGGATGCACATCAAATCTCTACATACAAACATCAAGCAACTCCACAGGATCGTACAAGAACAGTCTCACCGAGAAACCCATCACGATCCCGATCTGCCTCTGCAAAAGATGCCTCTCCTGTCCACTTCGCGCTCAGGATGTTGTCGCATTCCGCTTCGACAAGTCTTGCCGCAAGAACCCAATCGCAAGGAGACAGGCACACGGCACTGTCTGCTTTCCAACTGGCAAACACCTGTGCATGCACAGCGCTGTCACTGCAGCCCAGTGACACTCACAGCTGCTATGATTGTTATGAGACTCTTCAGCTTCACTGCCATCACTGCCTCCCGAAGCTCGTGACGGATTTCCACGCAATAGTATGCTCCCATTCGCCACCTTCTTTTGGATTTACAATAAAAATGTCCGGAACAAAGTTACGTTTAGCAGACGTCAGACCCGGCCTTTCGGAAAGAGTGCTAGCCAGATCGCGCTTTGCAGCACCGAGTAGCTCGGGAATCGAAGGGATCTTGCGTGATGCCTCGGGCGATGTGAAGCAAAACGTAAGGCCGGGGGTTAAAGATTCTTGACAACATGCCTCCACACAGAACTACCATGCACACACGAATAGGGAAAGGGACAAAACAAATATCACAACCACACGATTTTTCGCGTTACTGTCAAAACCTTGCTGGCAACACCAAGAGCCTATGTGCAGATCCGGGTGCTAATGAAAGCTTAGGTGCTCCGTCACTCGATGTCAACCGTGTCGCACAGAACTGCAAAAAATTCAACATGCCAGATCCCGAGGAATCTGCCCTCAACATCTTTGGAAAAGCTTGCAGAATCCTGCGGGGATCACCTTGATCCAAGCCATTCCGTATTTCCAGCTTGACATAGTCGGAACACGAGACTTTCCCTGACTCGCTGATATCATACGCCTTGAACAGACGTTGCAACGCATCAAGTAAGGTTGTTCGGCCATCAGTGCTTGCTTGCCAAGCAGTTGTGCGCGCGATCATGTCTTCCACTGCTGGTAGCAGTGAAACAGTTATGGCATTCGACGCCAAATCAACAGGTCCCATGGCGCTAACGAAGCAAACCTGCTTGATGAAGCTTGAAACCATGACACGAGCAATACCGGCTGGGCAACGCAGAAACACGAACAATATTAGCTTGCAACCAACTAACGCTATATTCGCGCCGGACAACATCCACACGTCCCATTTGTTTGATCCAGAAACAAGCTGTAAGCTTTCGTCACGGAACTGGCGGAATGGTCACTGCAAGAATCATACCTCAAGAATACTATGGATGTAATGTCGATTGTTTCAGCGAGCTACATCAAGCATCTACCCCGACCTCATTTCCACAAAGCTGAACACGTCAATGAAACTGTCAGGGCTTGAAACACTTGGTAGTGTTGGTGTGCAACAATCACTACATGTCACTACTCTATGAGACACAAAAGGAGCAAAACTAGGATCGTGCAGACGCTCGGACCAAGAAAAGTTGCCTACAAGGGGACAGCAGGAGGTAAACCAGTTACGGGGTTTTAAGAAACAAGCAAAAAAGCAAATTGACTGGCCGACCATTTACCACTGCAGGAATTACGATTCTCAGCTACCAATACCCGCATCTGACAGACACGGGTTCCCCCGGGTAGCCTGAACGATAAGTCGAAAACTAAGAGCTACATTCGGCATGTTGGAGTCCAGAAAAAGCCGTTTTTGTGTCAAAATGAACTTCGAAGCGACATGCAACTGGATCTGAAATATGTCAGTTCGTTTTGGATCACGAACGGATATTTGCTTTCTGAAATCACCTGTCATGTATGTCGGCAATATCGTGATAATGCTTTGGTGCCAAAATTTTTTTGGCTTGGGCGGGCTTCGGTGGCAGCGGCTGCTGCGCTCAGTCCTTATCGAAACTATCGAAACAACAAAACGACAAGAAAACAGCTGTGAAACAGGAGGCGCCTCAGCAAAAAGTGCT